TATCTATCTATCTATCTATCTATCTATCTATATATATATACTGTATATATATATCTATATATATATCTATATATATATATATATCTATATCTATATATATATATATCTATATCTATATCTATATATATATATATATATATATATATATATATGGAAAAATATTTTTTCCATGGGATTATTAAAGTATTTCTGATTCTAATTCCTCGCTGATGGGACAGGTGTTGTGAATAAAACGGTGCCCAGCTTGAAAGAGCTCTAGTGAGTCGCTGAATGTTTCAATTGATGACTGAAAGACATCTTCTGCCTCCATTTATCTGTTTACTACAGTCTGTTGAATTCATGTTAATGTGGATTTCAACTAGTGGAAAAAATTGCAGGGGGGAATATAAAAAAAAAAAAAAAGGCTAATCAACCAAAACTTTTGCGACCCCCATGTAGTGGACCCCCTAGGGGGAGAATTACAGAGGTTTAACAATAAGGTTTGTTTAGAATGAATGTAGCAAAAAACATAAAAAAAAACCAAAAACAAATATGAAATCAGCACATGCACCCAATATAAACTGTTAAACAGGATGGTGGAGGGTGGTGGTTTGTGCCAGTTCCCAGCTTCTAAATCTGGGGAAATAAATGGTTCTGAGTCAAACACAAAAATGGGAGTTCTCTGTATACCAAAGTGTTTTAGAGTCCCACCTGGGCCTCCGCAGAGCAGCTGAAGCTAAATGCAAGCGATCCCAAAAACAGGAATATCATCCGCATCAGCAAATCTACTATAGAGACACTGAAAAATAAAAGAAGGAAGTAAATCCTTAGAATGAGTTGTTTTAATCTCACTTCTGGGTTTATCAGTGTTTTTTTTTTTTTTTTTTTATGTGATCGGTGTCTGCTTCTTGGCTTCACACCTCAGTGGAGCAAAAAGCAGAGGAATTAGAGGAAACGACCTGAACAGAAACAATCTTCTACCTGTGTATTTACTTATACTAATCATATCAAAATCAGCCTGAAAACATCTTTGTGAAAACTAGGAGTAAAACAGATCTAAGAATAGTAGTTTGCAATGTCTGATGCATTCCCATAATGCACTGGAGTACTTAGTAGCAGAACCATGGTCTGATGATGTTTATGGACTTTAAGTACGCTTGCAGCAGAAATGAAATCAATAGCATGGATGCAAATTCCTCCTTATGTTCCGTCATAACTGGGAGGAACATGCAGAAAGCAATCAGAACACATGAAGAGGGTCATAAACATGATGGATGATTTACAGAGTTTATGGCACAGAGGCACTTAGGATAGAAACACATTCTAAACAAGATAAATCAATCATGGGCTCCAACAAGGAAGAAGGTCTTTTTAAACCTATATGTGTGAATAAAGGCATCTGACAATCATATTTTGGTTTGTGTTTTCTTCTTCATCATTCTGGGGAGTTTAAGTTAAAAGTTATCAGAGAAAAGAAGAACTTCCAAGGTGTCCAACTCATCTGTCAGTATCTTTTTCAAACTTGATTTCGTACATTTGGTTCCCATCAACTTTAAGTCAATTTAATCATCTGTATGAGAAGTTTTCTCGGATTCATAAGGAAGAAAGCTTTATCTCTAAAAGGGATTTATTTTAAACATAATTAAAAATGATTAAAGCAGGAATCTAAGTAATTCAAGAGAAAGTGAGAAGACAGGAGACACGGAGAGGGTATAAAGAGTGAAATAATGATGAGAGACGGAACAGCAGGGAAATACAGTAGGAATGGGGAGAGAGGAGGTCAGAGAATAAAAAAAAACATTGCATCGAACACAATGTAGGGAGAGTAGAAATAGAAGAAATAAGTTAGCCGCAAATAAGGATAGCAGAAAATATCAAATTCTATTGCTGTGATGCAATATTTGCGAGGCTGTTATCATGAGGTAAGAGTTGGCATCTTATTAGAATCGCTGTTAAACAAACTAGGGCTGAAACAATTAATTGGATTAATTGTGATGAATCAATTATTGAAATAATCATCAACTTATTTATTAATCAATTAATGATTAATCGTTAATTGGAGTATAGAGACTCTAAAACATGCCTTCTGGTGACAGAGGGACACACTTGGAGCTGAAATTAGACCAGTATTGTTAAAAAAAAAAAAAAAATACATATATTAACATTTTGCATTTAGGATAAAAAAATATCTGCCATCTGTCAATATCCAGAACTCCTCAAGTGGAAAAGTTTTAGTTTCACCTGGTTTAATTTAGTAAAAAAAATCTTAAAGAACCTTTGGCTATCCGATTATTAATTGAAAAAAATTGTTGAAAGATTAATCAATTTGCAAGAAAAACGTTGCATTCCTAAAACAAACCCTATTCATTAAGTGGATTCCTATTTTTTCACTTCATTATTTAAGGATAGTTGAACTTCGGACATAAAGCTATTTTCTAAAGATGATTTTAATCACTGACTTGTAGAAATGATGTCGTATTTAAACAAAAGCGGTTTGACAATATGAAGCAGGCTCTAACAAAAACTAAAGGAAAACAACAAACACATTATACCTCATTATGAAGCATTTCAAGGTCAGGTGAGAAATAATGTCTTTGACTTCAGTTATCTAGAATTATACAGCAGTTTTGAAGGTTTACACAGAAATCCACTATAGAAAAAAAAAATCAAAGAGTAATGAACCTTCTCAGCAGAGGCAGAACAACAAAATCACATCAAAATTTTATCAATGACTCATTTTAGTGTTACAGACTGAGCTTGTTTCAGTTAAGACCACTATATAATAAATAATAATAGGATGGTAATATAAAAAATAAATAAATAAAAAAGCTAGGAAACCAGGCCTCTGATGGGAGAGTTGGGACAAAACTGAAGAGAAAATGTTTTCTCAGATTTCCCAAAACAGATTCTGATGATTTAAGTGTTTTTTTGGGTAAAACATTTTGAGGACTGAAGAGACAAAGGAGAGAATTTTTGGCAAGTGCCTTCATTTAACATCTGATGCAAAACTACCAGCATTTCAAGAGAAAAAAAAAAAAGAAAGAAAGAAACTTTGTACTGAGTGTCAAACAGTGATGGTACTATAATTGGCTGGGCTTTTTTTTTATGGCTATAGGGCATCCTGGACTAAAGGAACAATAAATCGGCCCTCTGTTAAAAAAAAATAATGCAGAAGCCGGCTGTGGGATAAACTACTAAGTTAAATAAGGGTCACAGAAAAAAAACAGACAAAAAATTCACTGATATGAATGATAACAAATGTAGGTCAACATTTTCATACATATATATAGAGATTGCTCAAACACATGCTTGAATGACTCTAGTAAGATACATAAAAAATGCATAGCAAATCTTCTGAGCCCAGTAACTCCGCCCCATCCCCCTCAAACCTTCTCTCTAACACACCCAAACCTACCCCCACACACACACAGGTGTGCTGAAGGGTATGGCTTCATCACCGACCTACCAGCTGTCAAACTGCACCCCTCCTTTGCGCAGCCAAGAATAATGAAAGCTGCACTGCATGCTGGGAACAATGTAGCCAGATATGTAGAGCTGCATTACAGTTCGCTACTATTAAGTGAACAATAGTTTTGCTCTCATTAAATGTTCATGTAGAAGACGATACGATAACCTATGCTGCATAAAATGACTGAAAACTGTTAAGGATACATAAAGAAAAATAATCATTGTCACAAAGTGTTGGAAGAAAGTATATGTGAAATTATAGGAATGACACATAATATATTTACTTCAACAAAATAAAATATACTGAAACACATCTTGTGTAAATATATTGGATTTTATGAATTAATGATTTTAAGAATTTATTGCCAAGTACGTGAGGGAAGGTCAACTAATGATAACTCTGTACACCTGATATTAAGACAGCTGCTGAAACCACGGTCCGGATCCAGACCCACCTGCTGGCTAATCTAGACCTAACTTCATTTAAAACTTGTATTAACAATTATTAACAGACTGTCGTCCGACAACAATCCAAACGTCACTTGCGCCTCTTCTCCCCGAAATCCCACATCCTCCGCTCCACCCTGCAGCGCTCCAGACCTCCTGCTCAAAGCAAAGCCTACAGCCTCCGCTGTTCCTCCCGTATTGCTGCGCTCTGACTTATCCTCGGAGCTTTAGGAGAGCATGCACGATACTATCATTAAATTCGCAGGAGCAAAACATGCAGAAATCAGGAGATGGAGACGGAGCCCAACAAGACCTCCCTTATCCTTGGCACTATCTGAAAGAATTTTTCGAAATAGTCGTAAAATTGAGCTTTTAAATCATATAGTGGCATCTGGCTGGTTTTTTTTTAAAGCTAACTTTATACATTTATACTTCAGGTAGTTTTTGGGGCACATGCTTTTTCATTTTTACTTAAGTAAACAGGTCAAGTTGATACTTCAACTTTTAAACTGCAGTATCTATACTTCCACTTAAGTAACAAATGAGTGTACTTTTGACACCACTGATGATACATGAAAAAAACAAACAAACATAAATATTTGCCTAAAATATTAACCGGCTAATATGTCGGTCTATCGCTTATTGGAATGAAAGGTTTGCAGGCTAAAATTGTTGGGCGTACCGAGTCTAAAAATAACTGTGTCTTATCTAATTGGATAATTGTCCTTTCCACCTGAATCTAATTTGGTGGCAATAATTTGAATTATTGCCACCGAAAAAAATGTACACCTTCCTTCTTCTTCATGGTGTGATTATAGACATTCTTCTTCTAAAACAAAAATCCATAAATCTTTGTAGGACCATTGTTGGATCAGTGCATTTCAGTATGAGTATCGTAATGAGACTTTTCCTTTATTTGGACGATGATAAATCACATCCGCCCACAGTTATCTGTTCCATTTGCTGAATCGTTCAATTTAAACAGCATCAAACTATACGGACAGCCATCTTTTACTGCCGCACAGCCCAGGCGCTAAAATCCCCCAGAAAGGCTTAAGGCATTACATTCACAACACAGAACTGAGCTGTGTGCCAGTTAAGCTTACCTGATAACGTTGAGTCTGGCTTACTCCTCAGCAGACAGATTCAACCTGCAGCCTGCACAGAAAAGTTAACATAATTTAATGCACTGACCTTTGAGGTACGGCTCCAACACACTGAACATGAATAAAATCGGCCTGATTTCCACACGAGCAGTGACATCATATTACAATGTTCTTAGGTCAGTAGCTGCTCCTTTGTCAAAGGTTAATAAAATACAATAAATGTCTTTATATAGACAAAAATTAAGGCTTCTTTCCTATTTTTCTTGATCAAACAGCTGCTGTCGTATAAGACCATTTGTGTGTAGAGGCCAGGGTGTGTTCAAGATGGCAAACAGTAGGGCAGAAGGTGAGCTGCAGCTGCCCAAGCATTCACACCTTACTGCGAGAAATACACACAGAGGACTGTAGCACAGACAGACAGACAGACAGGGGGTTGCTTTAGCAGCTTTAGATTATAGCTTATTAAGCTGTTTTTAAAGTCTAATCACCACTGGTTCAGACAATATGTTGCCACCTGTAAGCTGTGTTGCTATTTTGGCTTTTGCAACAGAATCTGAGGAAAAACTGGTGCCAAAGCTGGTTTTTAACTGGCTCTATATGAAAAACAAACAATAGTTTAGTGTTTTTTTCCACAGCTAAAGAAGCAGATTGGTGCCAGATATAATGGCGGTTCCTTTTTATCAAACGCTTAAACCTTCCTCTGTTGAATTTGGAGTTTCTGCAAAGGACCAAACTGCAGACAGAAACAGCAATTCCTGAATATTAATACACTTTGGAAAAATAGCACTTAGCTGAGATAAATACAAAGGTGCAGTAGTATCCTGCATCTATATTATCGTTTCCTTCATGGCAGTAAAAAAAAAAAAAAACTGGAAGAACAAATTAATTATATATTTTTCTGACAAATGGTTAGACAGAGGTTAAGCCTTTAAATCGACTGGCCATATTTAAAAACTGCCTAGAGGAAGAAAGGTGTTGATGAGGTTTAGTAAGTTGAGGTGAGAACTCAGCATGAAACATCCCCCTAGGGAAGACAGACCAGAAGGATGAGGACTGTTGGTCTGAGAGTGTCAGAACAGGTTAAGAAAAAGCTCAGAGGCAAACTGGCATCAAAAAAGTATTCACATCCTTACAGACTTCTTCCATTTTCTTTTCATTCCACAACAACAATTGTGATATTATCCAACTAATTTTATTGGCATATTAGGCAAGACAACCCACATAAATACAAATTTAGCTTTTCTAAAAGTATCATTTTATTTTCTGTTTGTTAATAAGGGGAGCTAAATTACATTTTTTTTTGTAAATTTCATAAATGGTTATTGCTGGTTATCTACAAAGATCACTGGAAATTAGGGTTACAACTAACGGGACGTGCATAGAGCTTCAGGAATACTCAGCTTTTGCATAAACAGCCCACAGAATATTTTGACTTGAGACTTTGGAATCATAACTTCAATTTCATTTTTATTGAACACCTTTGGAAATTGCAGATAATAAAATACACCTACAGAAATATTTTTAATGCAAATTTCCAAAAGGTTTTAAAGACTGAAAATTCTAAAAAAAAAAAATAAATAAATAATTGCAGATTTTTAAACAGAATAGGATTAAATATACATACATTCTGACTGTTCCAGGGTGTTCAAAAGGGCAACCCAGGTATATGAAGATGTTTCTGTTGCATCTAGCTTTTTACTACAAAAGATTACTGTTCAGAAACAAACACCAAACTTTCTGGTTTAATATTACCGGTATTCATATCTCTTTGTCCAAAGTGGGTTTCCAGCTCTATATTCCCTGATCTATAAGTATGCTAACCCCTGAAAGATTTCTCTTTTTCCTTTCTTTTCTAAAGGCTTTTTAGTAGGACTTCAACTAACTATTATTTTGCAAATTGATTAATCTGTAAATTATTTTTTTCGATTAATCGATTAATTATCGTATAGCTAAAGGTTCCTTAAAAAAAAAAAACTTTTACGAAATAAAACCAAGTGAAACTAAAACTTTTCCACTTGAGGAGTTCTGGATAGAGCATATTGACAGACGGAAACATTTTTTTTTTATCTTAAATGCCAAATGTTTATACATTCATTTATATTATCATATTTATATATATTACAATTTTGGTATAATTGCTGCTAAAGGGTTGGTTGATCTGTCATCTAAAGGCATATGTTACAGTCTCTAAACTCCAGTTAAAGATTCATCTATTACTTAATTAGTTGATGATAATTGCAATAATATTGCAATATTATTGCAATGTGATTAAATGTTACAGCCCTAGTTTTTAGATCAACCAGACTTTAAAAAAACTACAATTATCTCATTGGAACTAAAATATACTCTATTAAAGAATATTTTATCTTTTAGGAGAAAAAAAAAATACTATTCAGATCAATCTGGCTTTGTTTGAAAATATATTAGCTGCCTCTTTGCATATTAATTCAATATTATTAACCATATTACCTGGCTCAGTTTCACCGGCCATTAACCTTTATTAGATAAGTTTCCATTAACCATCAAATTGTGCAAATTGTAGTTGTGAAAATAAATTTGCTAAATGGAAAAACTGCGATAAAAAAAAAAAAAAAAAACTTGATAAGAGGTTTTCACGCTTTGAAAAGGTGGTTTTTCAGTCGTACTGAAATTTTTATATTTTGCAAAACTGCAATGTTCACACTTTAGCATCACACAAGTCATATGATCTGCAGCTGGACCTTACAGCCTTGTAAAAAGACAGACGGGAAACAGTTGAGGATGATGGTGCTTCTTATTTATTGGTAATACAGCATTTGCGAAACTGCATTTTTAAATTTAGCAGAATATCGACAATGTTTTGCACTCTTTTGTAATGGAAATGCAGCTAGTATCTGAGCTAGGGCTGGGTGATATGACCTCAAATCAATCTCAACCTCGATAACGATAAATGCACGATAAATACTTCGGCTCCTCTATCAGAAATAAAGGCATGTGCAGGAAATGCAACTGATCTATTTATAATTTATTGAATAAATCCCATTACATATTACTTTCAATTACATATTAAAGTCTTGTACCCATTCAAGTTTAAACATTCAACAATGTCTCATAGAACAGTAGAAAAATTTTACCTCTTTCAACATTTTTGCTAGTTTGCATTGGTATTCACTGAAGGAAACTAGATAACAGTATAAGAACTTATTATAAACCATTTATACAAATCTTAAGTAAACACTGGTATGGTGAATTAAAGCTAAGATCGTAAAATCTATAAAAAAAAAAAAAATTTTTTAAAAACCTAAAAAAAAAAAAATTATTACGGCTAAAGATTATGGGTGAAAAAATAGCCAACTGGGAGAAATATATATATAAGTATGAGGCATAATATAAGAACAAAGAAACAACTAAATTATTGTTGAAAAGCAGACAGAATAACCCGAGTCAGAAGATGTGATTAGAGGAAATGTAGGAAAAGAAAGAGCAGAGAACTGACAGAGGAAAGAGAAGAGGATGTGAGAAATAAAAGAATAATAGATGAGGAGAAAAATGGGAAAAGAGAAGGACTGAGCAAATAAGACCATCTGCCTTGCAGTGTTAGGATACTTGGAAAGGTTTCAGCTGGGTGGTATCGGTATGAATTATATCATCATGCTGGAATCTGAAAATATCAGGATACAGTGCCGGAACTCCCCTTCTCTAAAACCCAGAAAAACATACAGACCGACTGAATCACAGACACGCAGCATCATTCTGCTGGGTTACAGCCTGAATCTAAGTTCAGGGCTGCTGCCAATGATTGTCTCACTGTTGGTAATTGAAGTGAAAATCTTACATCAGTTTACTAGAGCGGCCAAGTACAGCAAAACTGATTAAAACAAAAAAAAAGACAGGCAACCATGTGTTTTAAGAAAGTGTACTTAAAGAAAGAATTGTTAGATCAGATTAATCATCCATTATCATTGCAGGGGGAAAACCAATTGCATTGATGTTAAGAGTCATTTGTAGCACTGGGCACATCGTTATGTTAAACTTTACCTTTAACTGATTCAGTTGAGTAAATACACAGATAGGTGATCTGCATTGATATGCAGAGCCGTGTGTTTGTGCATGAGTATATGGGACAGCTGATGAGGTAAAACATGGCGCTCCATTCCCAGTACTGCCACGCCTCAGAAAGCAGTGGGATTGGAATGACCAAAGGTTGGATCATATCAGCACCAGCAACACCAGCGTCTCAGGGCTTCAATAACTCTCAACCCTGATCAGTTCATTTGGATGTCCAGCAGTATTGTATAACAAAGGCTGCTCTCTAAAAACCGGTTCAAATTATGTGAATGTAATGTAAGTTTTACAGACAGACAGCAGCCGGTTTTTTGATCTACGAAGACTTTTGATTGGAAAACTGCCACAAACAAGTGTGGGAATCAGACCACAGACACAGACTGATTTTCCACAGTGTGTAAAAAAAAAGAAAAACAGCGGATTAAAATCAGATTTACTGGGAGGAAAGTGTTGAAGAACTGTCGTTCTGGACAAGTGAGCTGAGACTCTAGTAAACGAGGACAAGAGAGATGGTCATAAATTCAGAAGCTTTAACGTGTTCCCTCAGACAGGATTAAGGCTGTGTTACACAAACTGTGACCCAAACAGCGCAACAGAACATGCCAGGGTTATGGCCACACTGAAGTGTGAAAGCAAAAACACTGTTGGAAAGAATGCAAGTCCCAAAGAGGATCTCCCACCATCCTCTACACCCCCATCACACTAGAACAGATACCAAACCTGAGCAACTTGATGTTTATCTGTGGCATTTCCTTTAATGGGAAGGTTTCACCATCAGTTTCTGCCTTTCCAGGGTTTTTCTGACTTCCTGGCAGGTATAATGTCTAACGCTACGCTCAGACCGCAAGCAGCAAAAATGCACGTGCCGCTTCATTTTTGAAACTTGTTCAGATTTAGTTCTGACAGGGAGCTGAAGCATCTTTGGGGCTCTGGCTGCGCAGTGGGAAAGTGGGTTTAATGCACGTTGGATGGAGCTACCCTATACTTTCTTTGCCTGTAACCACGGCA